TATATATATATATATATATATATATATATCTTGCCAGTGTTAATTGCTTTAATTTATTATGGTCTTTAAATATCTTTATATTTGACGGTGTTAATTCCTTCAATTTATTTTATTATGGTCTTTAAATATGCTCATATTTGACGGTGTTAATTCCTTCAATTTAATTCATTATAGTCTTTAAATATGCTCATATTTGACGGTGTTAATTCCTTCAATTTAATTCATTATAGTCTTTAAATATACTCATATTTGACTGTGTTAATTCCTTCAATTTAATTCATTATGGTCTTTAAATATGCTCATATTTGACGGTGTTAATTCCTTCAATTTAATTCATTATGGTCTTTAAATATGCTCATATTTGACTGTGTTAATTCCTTTAATTTAATTAATTATGCTCTTTAAATATGCTCATATTTGACACTTAATTCCTTCAATTTATTTCATTATGGTCTTTAAAAAGCCTTATTTTTGACTCTGGGAGAGCTGCAGAAACCCTGCCGTCTTCATCTGTGTGTGTGTGTGTGTTTTTGTTCTGCAGGAAGTCCGTGTTATCCAGCGCAGGTGTACGGTCGCGACCGCAGATTCTGGAGGAAATACATTCAGTTCGATTTCAATGAAATCATTCGTTTAGCAACTCAGGAGATCATCAGGACGAGGTAACATCAACTCAGGGACTTCAGATACAGCCTAACGAAGATGTTTATTCATGCTCTCACTGTTTTATTTGCTTACATGTGGTTTTATACACAATAAAGTCTATTTTCTGGTAAATCCTGCATGGTTCATGACCCAATTCTTATATGTTCGATTTTCTACAGAAAAAAAAAACATAATTATACAATGATTTGCCTAGTTACTCTCACTTTAAGCTAGTTAAGCCTTTAAATGTCACTTTAAGGGTCGTAAGGGTCAACATTATTGATATTATTTTATGCAAAAACTCAGAATAATAAAGATCATGTTTCATGAATAGGCTATAGGCTATATTCTGTACATTAACAACTATAATTATATAAAAAAAAACTCAATTTAATTAGTAATAGTAATTAGTCATTTTAATTATTCATTCATTCATTTTCTTGTCGGCTTAGTCCCTTTATTAATCCGGGTTCGCCACAGCGGAATGAACCGCCAACTTATCCAGCAAGTTTTTACGCAGCGGATGCCCTTCTAGCCGCAATACATCTCTGGGAAACATCCACACACACTCATTCACACACACACACACTCATACACTACGGATAATTTAGCCTACCCAATTCACCTGTACCGCATGTCTTTGGACTGTTGGGGAAACCGGAGCACCCGGAGGAAACCCACGCGAACGCAGGGAGAACATGCAAACTCCACACAGAAACACCAACTGAGCCAAGGCTTGAACCAGCGACTTTCTTGCTGTGAGGCGACAGCACTACCTACTGCACCACTGCCTCGCCCTTTATTTTAATTAGTAATAGTAATTAGTCATTTTAATTAGTAATTAGTAAATGTGATATTAACACAGTTTAACGCAAAAATATTGCTCAAAATAAGGTCTTATGGGTCAACATTACTGTTTATTATTTTATCCGAAAACTAGAATTATTAGAATCTTAAAGATCATGATAGACTATATTAACAACTATAAATAAATATAAATAAAATAAATATATAAATATAAATAAATAAAAGATCATGTTACATGAACGGCTAGGTTATGTAAATTATCAACTATACATAAATAAAACCCTCAATTTTAATTGGTAATATCCATTGCTAAGCACTTTCACTTGTCAAATATTGTCCCGTCCAAAAAAATAATTCATCCACATCAATTAAGCTTCTTTAATTAGCTTTCAGATGACAATCGAAATTTCACAATATTGACACTATAATTTCTTGACGTCTGTCAATATGCTCAGGTGACCCACAGTCACACGTGTAATTGAGCCACATTTTAACCACTCATTTGACGAGCCAACACGCATATGCCATTCACTGACATTAAGTAAACAATATACTGTAGCATAGTATAATAATATAGTATATTATATATATATATATATATATATATATATATACTTATTATAGTATCATATTTGATTGTAAACCTGATTTCATTGTAACGCAGTAATGCGCACCTTCTGTAAAGCTGCTTTGAAATAATAATTAGGGTACTGTAAGCGCTATATAAATAAACTTGAACTGAATATTTGATTTGCTTACCGCATTGTACTTTTGATATACAGGCATAAAGTAATATAACCAAGACGAAAAGCCGTATTGATCCCATTTTTCTTCCCAAGAAGTGGCCACATGTCTCTAAAGCCCATATCCATCAGTAAATGCCGCTGCTGCTGTCTTCAAACCTCGCTTGTCTAATAATAACACATAATGCTTTCCATTCAATGAGAAAAATAAATTTTTTTCCATTCTCTCACTGTGCCACAATCTAATTTTGGCCAATGTCGACACTAACTGGACTGGAGTGAAACGATAGACTGAAGATCACAGGCTACTATACAGCACAGATGGACACTTAATACCCAAGGATTCCCAAAACTGTTGTCTGTGAAAGCTAATGTTTTTAATAATTCAGTTGGAGTATATGAACTATTCAGGATGATACAGAAAAAACCACAATTTAATTATCTATATTCTTTAAAAATTATTAACATGTTGGCTATAAGGCAATAAAATAACTATATTGTATGCAGAGATAGCATGTTACATGAAGTTTTACTGCAGAAAAAAAAATACTGAAAATATTGAACAAATAAAAATGAAACGTACAATACTCATTCTCTGCTGCTATATGTCATTTCCAGGAATGGAAACATGATATGACTGTATAATGTGACAATGAAACCACAATTTGAGTTTTTCACACATGAAGAAAAAAAATTAAATATTAGAGAGCAAAAAGTTAAGCCTATGTTGTGTTTTTGTCCTTTCATCATGCAGAGCTTATTTAAGCTACACCTTATATTATATCATAAAGTGAAACAGATCAAAACTAATCAAAGTCTGAAAGTGCACAAGGCTTGAAATAAGATCATTTGAGTTAGGAGTTTCTGATAAGATACAAAAAAGGACTCCATGGTTAAAAACAATACTGGCTCAAAGTGGATGATACAAAGTGAAACTATCATGGATCAGATTATAAACATGGAGAATTGACTTGCAGGAAATTACTTGTATTTTTGCCTAATTTAATAAGTCTGGAACATAATTAAAATTAAATTGTAAGCACTTCTGTCTTCTGTGTTCCTTTGGAAGCCCAAATAAAAAAAACAGAACGAGCTCTGTGAAAATAGTAACGTTTGGACGCCATTTTAGCTTTCTCTGCTTTAACATTACAGCACCTCTGGCCATGCCCCTTCACTGCGTGTAGTGAATGCGTGTAACCTAAAGGGTTTATGATTTCATTAACCCGGATGTATATTTGTAGTCCCCAAACATTGTTCGCTGTAGGGTTTGTCAAGTTAACTCTGTAAAAGCCAAGGTCTCCCTTTGTATTGAACTTTGAGCGTCTTACATTCAGACATGTTGTTTATGTTCACACAGCAACATTACACACTGACTAAAGTTTAAAACATGATATCGTAGAGGACCACCCCTTTAATAACTCATTTCTAATAACTAATCTATTTTATCTTTGCCATGATGACCGTAAAAAATATTTTAGGTTTATTAGATTAACTTGGCAGGTTTGGTTAATTAGGCAAGTCATTGTATAACAGTAGTTTGTTCAGTAGACTTAGTAAACAAAAAATAGCTTAAGAAGACTAATAATATTGACCTTAAAATGGTGGTTAAAAAATTAAAAACTGTTTTTATTCTAGCTGAAATAAAACAAATAAGACTTTCTCCAGAAGAAATAGTTTTTGAGGAAATACTGTGAAAAATTCCCTTGCTCTGTTAATTATCATTTGGGAAATATTTAAAGAAGAAAAATAATCAAAAGGGGGGCTAATAATTCTGACTTCAGCTGTATATAGAACAACAGAAACATACTATGACATATAAAAAAACATGGATTTTAATCCACCCATATAAATAAAAAGGAATGACTGGTTTGTAAAAAGGTAATTGAGTAAAAAAGTAAAGTATTTGGCTTTGAAATGTAGTGAAGTTAAAGTGCAAAGTCTCGCCATATGAAAATGCTCAAGTAAAGTACAGATACATGGAAAAATACTTAAGTACAATAACGAATTTCATTTACTTCGTTGCTGGCCGCCACTGAAATTATTTCGTTCATTTTACCTAGACTATACAAGTTAAGAGGAGATGGGAGCGAGGTAGGTGAAAACATGACACATGGTTAAACCAAAATGGTGGAACTCTTCCTGTACCTCCATATGGCAGATTCATAAACAATCCTTTTAGGCATACAGGATGTCATCAAGTTGACACCTGTTGCCAAAAATCAAGAGCCATAAATTATATTTTGACACACAGCGGCCATCATTTTCTTCTGATGATCTATCCAGAGATGCTCAGTCTGTCTCAACCTGTAAGTAAAACAGACAGTCAAATGAGTGTGACATTATTACTGCATTATCTATCATACACTATGGCCATTTTAGTTCATCAATTCCCCTATAGCGCATGTGTTTGTGGGGGAAACCGGAGCACCCAGAGGAAACCCACACAAACACGGTGAGAACATGCAAACTCCACGCAGAAATGCCAACTGACCCAGCCAGGACTCAAAGCAGTGACCATCCTGCTTTGAGGTGACAGTGCTAACCACTGAGCCACCGTGTCACCCCACACATAGATATTATTACTGTGAAAATGATTTGTTGACATAACACTGGCCTGTAACCTTCATTTTACCTCGAAACTGCAGTCAAATGTTTAAGAAACGTAGACTGAAGCATGTCATTTCAACTGAAGCATGTCATATTTTACTATGATTATGCTTATTACGAGCTTAATCACTTCAATTGAAAGTATTGTATTTACATTATGAGGGTTCATGAACACAGCTGGTGTTTTAACCTGTAAAAATACTAAATCATTATATAGAGACTTACATGAAGTGTTTATGGTGCATAAATAAATGTCTAGAAATGTAAACATTTTTAAGATCACTCACTTGAGTTTATTTAGCTTATAATGTGGATCATCTTTCAGATCAGAGAGCATTCTCATTCCTAAGTCTCCCAGTTTATTTTCAGTTATATCCAGGTGCCTCAGGTGTTCAGGGTTTGATCTCAGAGCTGAAGCAAGAGCAGCACAACCTTCATCTGTGACTCCACAAAAACTCAACCTGGAGAGAACATTGACACTCTTCAGTCTCAGTTCAGGATCTACAGCTCAGAGAAGCAGCAACTTCACAATCAGAATAAAAAAAAAAAAAAGATTTTAAAAGATTTATTGTCACTCTTGATTAACAGGTTCATTCTGATGTGTAGAAGCACTTCTACTGTAAATGGGGATTGAGGCACATTTCGATATGTGAGTAACCAAAATTCTATGTGTATAATATAAATCATCTGTAACATCTTAACACCATGCAATCATGCTTTACGTTACTATAAAGACACTGGAAAGAATATCATGATGATTAACATCATCTTCAATTATGACAGTACCCTTTGTCAATTTATTTTATTGATAACTTTGTTATTATTTTTTAAAGGAAAATGAAGAATTATATTTACGAATTCATATAGTCTTACCACAGTTTCTCCAGTTTACAGTGAGGATCCTTCAGTCCTTCAGAGAGATGGTTCACTCCTGAATCTCCTAGTTTATTAAATGACAGACTCAATTGCGTCATGTTTGAGGAGTCTGATTTCAGAGCTGATCCAAGATCAGCACAAACTTTATCTGTGACTTCACAATACTCCAACCTGTAGAGAACAATGACACTCTTCAGTCTCTCAGTTTAGCATCTACAGCTCAAAGAAGCAGTTTCATAATCAGAAAGAGAGACTTAATAATAGATTTTAATCTTGACTAACAGATTCATTCTGAGGTGCAGGAACAATCCTGCATTATACATGAGGAGGTTTAATATGTGAACATCATTAAATCACGTGTATGAAATAAACCAGCTGTAACATCTATACATTATGCACTCGTCTGTGTACTCTACTTTAAAGATTATGGTAGCAAACTTCTTTTATATGTCATTAGATCAGTTTTTAATTGTGATGGTTATTGATAAAAGAAAAAAATAAGGATTATTTAGACATGTTAACATGTCTTACCACAGTTTCTCCAGTTTACAGTGAGGATCCTTCAGTCCATCAGAGAGCAGCTTCACTCCTGAATCTCTTAGATAGTTTTCAGACAGACTCAATTCTTTCAGTTGTGTGGAGTCTGATGTCAGAGCTGAAGCAAGAGCAGCACAACCTTCATCTCTGACTCCACACTCAATCAACCTGTAGAAAACATTGACACTCTTCAGTCTCTTAGTTCAGGAAAAATATAATACAGAATAAATCCAAGTGTATTTTGAATTTGAATTTTGAATTCTCGTCATTCACTTATTGATATCTTCAAATTCGGCAGCAGAAAGACATTATGGATTTCGGACATGATTTAAAACAACTAGAATGTATAAGAATGGAGCAAGCATTCGAGTCATGTAGAGAAAGTAATCTAAATGAAGAATTATTAAGAGAAGCCTTCTAGATTCATAAATATTAATCACTAACACCAAGAGGAATAAATGAGGAACTAGATCTTTCAGTGTTTTTTTTTTTATGTTTTATTGTTTATCTACAGCGTTGTGAACCATGGAGTTTGTGTGTTTAATGAAACAGATAATGATATGAAAATGTATTTTTTTTTGTTTTGGAATTTCATTGCATTTGTTTTCAAAGATTTGAATAAGTGAATGATGATAATTCAAATTTTACTTTCCTGTGCAATGGAGATAATGCTTTTACAGGTGGAGGAAATAATTCTTGTGTTGTTAGGTATATTGAAGCGAAAATGAGACTGTGTAGTTGTCTAACTGATGACTTAGGGCCCTATCAAACATCCGGCGCAGTGTGGCGCAAGGCGTGGCACAGTAGTCTTTTGGTAGTTTCAGCTTGGTGCAAGAGTGGTTTTGAGGCGTTGCGCTACGCTGTTTAAATAGCAAATGCATTAGCGCTCATATGTGCACCCATAGGCGTTCTGGTCTAAAAAGGGAGGCGTTCTGAGGCGGACCGCTGGCGCGTCGCTATTTTGAGAAACTATAAAAGATTTTTCATTAGACCAAAACAAACCCGGTCTAAACTCCAGCGCAGAGTTGCGCCTCGCTTACACACTGCTTAATACACACAAGAGAGCAATAGGCAAATATCTTTACATATGAAAAAATTTAAATATTGAGGATATATATAAGATATAATAAGAATAGATATATGATATAAATATAGAGAATTAAAATATTACAAAACATATTATTTTCTAGCCTACATTAATATGAAAAATCACTGCTTTTATGTCTTCTTCATCTCGGGAGGCTTTTTCAGTTCATTCATAACAATTTGCTTTTGTATAATGTTATTATTATTAGCAGTATTATTTATTATATCCATATTTATATTTGTTTTATTAAAAACAAGCTTAGATTTGACCACCTGTCAGGTTTTAGGTCATATGGGGCACAGCATGTTTTAGGATATAACTCAGGTTTTTGAGCACATTTTGCTATTATTATTCATTTATTCGTTTGCTGGAAATTAGAACTGAATTTAGAAATAGTTTTGAAATGAATATTTGCGCTTAACAAACAAAAGTATTTATTTATAGACTAATTGATGTCTGTGCGTAAAGATTTCCCTATAGAAGAGTGAAAGTGAAAGTAGATCCATTATCTCTCATTCTCACGCAGTAGATGCTCTGTTTAACTGTTTTCTGTTAAAAAAAACTGTGAACTGTGAACTGTTTGCTTGTGAAATGCTCAGTTTTTCAACTTAGACTTACTTTGCGTCCTGTAAATAGTGAATGCGCTCTTGGCGTGACGCAGCTGGCTCTTAAAGGGAATGAGAGATGAGACTGTAATTGGTTTATTCTTAAAACACACCTATAACTCATTAAGAAAATATACTCAACCCTTTTAGACCATGCGCCACGGCGTAAGGCAGATTTCCCGTCCTTAATTTAGCA